ATTCTCAAAGAACATTTAATGGTGCCAGCTCTTGTTTTAGCCTATTTTAAAAGTGTGTTTTCGGTCCTCTGACAAGAGGGGGAAAGATTTTGAGTCCATCCAGGTGTGTCCCCTGACACAGGAACTTCTTTGTGCCGAAGGTAGTAGTATAGCAGTGAGGGTAGGTTTGTTACAATATTTCATATTGGACTGATACATGATTTTAATGATTAGTTCAAAATGTGGCATGTAGTGGTGGATTAGTCAGTTTTATCTTACTATATTAAGTAATATGATGAGATACTAGAGGCTCTTTGCTTATAAAAGGAAAAAGTTTACTGAGTGTGTGGGGGTGAGGGGGTGGGGGTTGTCTCTGAAATCACCATGGCCTGCAGAATAAACAGTCTGTGAAAGGTAAGAAGGTAGTTTGGTTCAACACCACTAAGTAGCCAGTATTGGTTTAAACTTCGGGAGTCTGGCCCTGGGTAGTTTATTTTAGGCATACTTAAGCACAGTACAACTTTCCTGGTGATAATAAAATCAATTCCATGTGCACATGACTGCATCAAAACTCTTTATAAAAGTACATGTGACATTGTCTATAAAGATGGGTTCTGTAGATTGGCTACATGTGACACCTTTCACAAAGGTAGGTTCTACAGATTGACAGAAAAATGGGCTCATGTTAAGGATCTGGGGGAGAATCTAATGTGGTCTCAGCCACACAGATAGTACAATTAACCCATCTGGTAACCTTTGAAGGAACAACCCCATGTGTTTAACATTCCTGGTTCTCTGGGTGCTTATCTGTGAGCACCAGGACCTCATATTGAGCTCCCAGTCCTGGAGTTTCCAGTCTAAGATCACACAGACCATGAGTATGCACATGCAGGCAACAGTGAGCGCTCGGGAGCTTTGGTCTCGGAGTCAGGTCTTTTTAAATGGTGTGCCTGGTGCACATGCCATGGAGTACGTGTGGAGATCAGAGGACAACTTTTCACCCTCCTGTAGGTTCCAAAGGTAGAATTCAGGTCACCAGGCTTGTGTGGCAAAAGCTTGTCCACTGAGCCATCTCACCAACCATGTTAATCTTTTGTTTTGATTTTTGAGACAGGGTCTTTCTGTGTTTGCCAGACTGTCTGAAACTTGCTATGTACACCAGGACAGCCTTAAATTCATAGAGACCTGCCTGCCTCTGCCTCCTGAGCTCTGAGATTACAGGTGCATGCTACCACAAATGGCTTGGGTCTTGGAATCCAGGAGATCAGGATTTGAACTCTGCCTTTACTAGCCCTGTGTCCTGGAGGAAATGATTTACCCTTCCAAAGTGTTGTTTCCTCAGTCTGTAAACAGGGTTCATGGTGCCACTTTTCTCATAAGACCACCATGAGCCTGAGACACTACACACAAGTGCAGGGCACACATTAGTAAGTCATTAAGAAACTTAATGGTGTAGAAGCTGGAGAGATGGCTCAGCAGTTAAAAGCACTGACTGCTCTTCCAGAGGACCCAGGTTCAAGTCCCAGCACTTACATGGCAGCTCACAACTGTATGTAACCAGTTCCAAGGCTTCTGACACCCTCACACAGACATACATGCAGGCAAAACACCAATGCACATGAATTTAAAAAACTTAAGTATTAAAAAAAAGAAAGAAACAGTGTAAACACAGACTGGCAGTGATGGTGTGCTTTGAGTGTGTGGTGGTCTTTGTAAGTTCATTTGATCATGTGTTCATGGACACTCTTGGTGTTTACATTCTGTGGGCTTTGGGAAATGAATGGTGACCTATGCTCATCATTATAGTACTACATTATGTAGCCATTTCAGATTGGCCACAGTTTTGCCTTTTTTAGAATGTCTTATGGTGGGAATGATACATTATGTAGCCATTTCAGATTGGCTTCTTTCATTTAGCAGTGTGCACAATGGTTCCTCTATGCTTTGTCAAGGCTTGAAAGCCGATGGCTCTTTATCCCCAGTGTCTCATCTCCTGTCTGTACCACCGTCTATCCATTTACCTATTGAAGAGTCTGCCACTGGCAATAAACACTTGTGTTCAGGATTTTGTGTGGACATAGTCTCAACTCACTTGAATAAACACCAAGAAGTATTATCACCAGATAAGGTGGTGAGAGTGTGTTTTGTCTCCTAAGTAACTGCCCACCTGTCTTCTGAAGGTGGCTGTGCTATTTCACATTCCCTCCAGAGAAGAATGTGTTCTTTCTCATTTGGCATTGTTAGTATTTCCAATGTTGGCCAGTTCAGCTGGTATCTATGTGGCTGTATTTTGTTTTACAACCATGTAACTTTGTTTTCAGCTTTGACACCAGGAATGTGAGGTCTCCCACTGTGTTTATCCTTTTCAAGATTGTTTTGGCCAATTCCAACTAAATATAAGATCGTCTTTTCTATTTCTTGCTAAAACCGAATCATGGCTGTTTTGTTAGAGACAATGGATCTATAGCTCATTCTGGATAGTATTAACATCTTAAATAATATTATTATCCAATCTATAAAATGGGATTTCTTTCCTTTTATTTGAACTTTCATTAATTTCCTTTTTTTTAAGTTTTTTTAGTTTTTTGAGACAGGGTTTCTCTTGCACCTTTCCTGGAACTCACTCTGTAGACCAGGCTGGCCTCGAACTCACAAAGATCTGCCTGCCTGATTAAAGGCGTACGCCACCACTGCCGGGCTAAAGATTTGTTTATGTATGTTTATGAACTTGCATATATGACTGCATGACACAAGAGGGCATCAGATCCCACTATAGATCATTAATTTCCTTGAAGAACATTTTGTAATTTTCACTGTACAAGGTGTTTCCTCCCTTCTCAAGTTAACTCTTAAGTATTTCATTCTTTTGGCGTTATAGCATAGTTCTCTTGATTTTCTGTAAGCTTTTCATGCAATCATGAGGGCTTCCTACGTACAGGATCCTGTTATCTATATGCAGAGGCCATTTCCCCCTCCATTTCTAGTGAGAGTGCCCTTAATTTCTTTTGCCTGTTGATCTGATGTCATTAACCCTGTGCTGAGCAGAGTGAAGTCAGATGCCCTTGTCTTGTTCTCAGTCTTAGAGGCTAAAACTTCAGCTTTTTACTGCTGAATATGTTCCAGCTCTGAACAGGTGTCTTTAAAATTGTGCTGTGCTATATTCCTGGCACCCATATAGAGTCTGGAACATAACTGTTATTGGGAAAATATATATATTTTTTAACTTAAAGAGCTAAAAGTATTTGTTTTTTACTCTTTTCTTTGTACTTTCTTTTTTGTTTGTTTGCTTGCTTTTGTTTTTTATAAAACCAAGTCTTACTCTGTAGCCCAGGCTGGCTTTAAGTTCTTGACAGCCTTCCCATCTCAAGTTCTTCAAATATGCATGTGAGCCACCACTGCCCAGTTTAGGGGTTAGAGGGCAGTGGCATGGTGGAAAGTGTATCAGCAGCCGCTAGTGCTGGTCACTAATGATGGGCAGCAAGCCACTCCAGTTAGGGTCCAGTTGCTTGGACAGTCTGCATTTTAGAGCCCCCTCATGCTGTCTTTGCCTTTTCTGTATTAGATTTAACAGCTGGAAGGATGCAGCATATGTTCCATATTTATGGCTGCTGAATAAATAACTTGCCACCCATTGGAAGCAAAGAAAACGAACAAAAAGCTGTAAATTATACATACAAGTTGTTCATGCCCATACATGTAATAGCAAATGCCTCGCTGTAGCAGAGCTTTTTAAAGGATTTGAGTCTGTTGGCCTCAGTTTTAATTTAGGATGGCTGGAAGCATCCCTACCACCATTTCATTAGTCATGCCATGTGATTCCATCAGGATGTAGCCCTCAACTCTCAGTAGATAAAAATTCTGATCAAGTGTAGTCTCAAAATGGGGAATCAAATGGTTTATTTAATGTACGGCCATCTCTCTCTATTTGGACTTTTAACAAGCAAGTGCTAAATACAAGCGAGCCGGTCTTCACATTCCTGTTAACAAGGTCATCTGAGTCACATTTTAAAGAACTTCTAGAGATGCAGAACTTGCTAATGACGTTAAGGGTGGTGGGGTGTAGCAGGAGGAACAGGCCGTTTGGTTTTGGTCAGGGGTTTTCTGGCTGAAAATAATTGAAACCATAAAGCTTGTACCAAAGAGGAGATGAGAACACTGGGAAGATGTTATAGGACCCAAGGGCAGGTGGGGCAGCCTGGCTGGGGAGAACAGGCCTGAGGAGCCAGGGTCACTCTGTCTCCCTGTTTCCCTCCATGACTGGCCCTGCTCTCAGCAGATGGACTGTCCCTCCTCCCACACTCAGGGATCTCCAGCTGCTCAGGTCTGTCTTTGCACTGCCGTGGGGCCAGGGCCCAGCAGAGGTTGCCCGGCATCTCTGACATCCAAGTTCGCGGAAGGCAGACGCTCATTAGCTCATTAGCTCATTTTGAGTCAGATGACCATGTCTGGATCATTCATTCATTGATGAATTCAAAACATCTGCACTAAGGCCCAGGGACTGTCTCAGCAGCTCAGGATGCGTCCTGGCCTGTGTGAGGAGTTGTGTGTGAGGCAGTGGGAGAGAGAGGGAGGGAGGGACTGACTGCCTGTTTTGTGGGGCCAGATTGAGGGGTGCCATTTTCAGAGAAAGGGAAGCGTGGACTTAGGATTTGGGTTGTTTTGTCCTAGGTTTAAATCTGAACAACTCCTGCCCCCGCCCCATACACACACACTAGCTCTGCATGAACTGTGGCATATTAAACGACTCCTTTTAGCCTCAAGTTTTTAATCAGTAAAATGGCAACAATCCTTTATAAAGCAGCCAGGAGGCTTGTTCAAGCAAAACAGTGCTTGCCACACCACAGTGTATCCACCCTGCTCCGTGCGATGCGGCCTGGTGAGCCGTTTCCTCACTTGCTTGCCTTGAGGTTTAAGCTTTGGGATGTTTACCTAACGCCAGGCATTTGTAACTCCTGAGCCCCGAGTGTGGGTGCCACACCTCTTGTTCTTACCATGAATCACATTTTCCCCTCTTTTTCTAGTTCCCATTTGGCCGGCGCTTGCCTTGTGACATCTACTGGCACGGAGTTTCATTTCACGACAATGACATACTCTCCGGTCAAGTGAACAAATTCCCAGGTATCTGCTGTTATTGTTGGGCCTTCAGAAGTATCCTTAGGTCCAGAACATAGTCTTCCACAAGAACACGACAATGCTTTCAGACCAATTGTGAGGACTCTTAATCGAGAATGTCTGCCCATGCTCTGCCTCGCTGCTGTTGCCATGGGGAAGAAGTCCCCAGAGAACCATGAAAACTAACACTCCTGAGGGTCTGAAGATGCAGACTGGCCTTCACTGGTAAAGGTGTGCTTTCTGTGGGTAAAGTGTGTGCTGTGCAAAGTTGAGCACTGGAGTTTGAATCCCCAGCACTCCAAGTATGGTGGTCCACCTTAACCCCAGCTTTCTAGGGGCAGAGACAAAGGATCCTTAGGGCAAGCTACTAGCCAGACTAGCTGAATGGGTGAGCTCCAGGCTCAGTGGCAGAAACCTGCCCTATTGAATTGAGATGGGTAGTGATGGAAATAGATACCAAATATTAACCTGTGGGCATCTACACATGTATGTATACATAGGCATGTTTGCCAGCACACACATGCATACCACATACATATGTAAACATACACAAAATGTTTTGAACTTGTTGAGATAGAGATATGGCACAGGGAGTCCATTGATGGAACTACAGTGTCTAAAGAAAGAAATACAGCCTTTCCCGAGCAGAGAGCCAGGGTTCTGGGAACAGGTCACAGAAATGAAGCCCCTGCTTTCTCTTCAAGTACCATAGCTGAAGGTACCATTAGAGTGAGCTGCTCTGGTCTCCACTCTAAGTGTCTAAGTGCCATAGGCTATGGACAGCCTCGAGACTTGCCCTGCGATGAGGACGGGGTGACAGGAAATAGTTACTATCACCTCCGTTTGCGGGGCTCAGCCTCCATGTCCGTGTCTTTTCTGTCTTTCTGCCCCTACCTCTGTCTCCTCTACAGTCACTATGCTGAAGGTCTTGTTTGACAGAGGCAAAGGGTAGTGGGACTCCTTAGGGAAGAGGAAGCATTTAGTTGAGCTTCCAGATACAAGCCTCACATTAATTTTGTTAATGCATTGTATTGTAATATTATATTCTATTATAATACAGTAATAAATAATTTTAAAGGAGAAAATCGCTCAAGTTCCATCCCTCATTTTTTTGTGTTTTTTGTTTTGTTTTGTTTGTTTGTTTTTTATTTTTTTGAGACAGGGTTTCTCTGTGTAGCTTTGGAGCCTTTCCTGGAACTGACTCTGTAGACCAGGCTGGCCTCAAACTTACTGAGAATCACCTGCCTCTGCCTCCCAAGTGCTGGGATTAAAGGCGTGCGCCACCACTACCTGGCCCATCCCTCATTTAAGATTATATTTTCTCTCAAAGTTTGATTTATTTCTATGTACATGAGCCTTTTACCTGCATGTATGTATGTATGTATGTATGTATGTATATATATGTATGATGTGTGTACAGTACCTGTGAAGGCCAGAAGAGGGCATCAAATTCCCTGAAACTGGAGTTACAAATGGTTGGGAGCCACCATGTGGGTGCTAAGGACTGAACCTGGGTTCAGTTCTGTAAAAGCAGAAAGTTTTCTTCACCCCTGAGTTGTCTCTCCAGCCCCAATCTTCTCAGATTTAACCATGACCATCATTTTTATATTGCAGCCTTACAGTGCAGTTACCATAGCAGAGCACCTTCTGTTCATGTCTTATCTTTTGAACTTGTATTGAAGGGAGAACAATTTGCCCTTTTATTTGGTGTCCTATCCTGTACCTTCAAGAAAAGGCTCTCAACTAGCAGATATAGTGGCTCACATTTGTAATCCCAGCACTTGGGAGGCTGAGACAGGAAGATTGTCATTCATTTGAGGCAAGCCTGGGTAACATGATGAGTTGCAAGCTAGCCCAAACCATGGAGTGATATCCTGTCTCAAGACCAAAACAAACAACAAAAAACACCACTTCTCAGAAAAAAAACAACATCCATATATACATATCTACACACTGGCTAGTTTTGTCACATTCAACAGGGCTTTTAATCACTCAGACACACAAGGTTGCTACCATGGGCAGTAAGTACTTGGTTCACTTGGAAGGGCACAGGATAGGAAGCACAACATGGCTCCAGTCAGTATGGAGCATTTATCTTTAGTAGAATATTTGCAAAAGTTCTAGGGACTTGTTTCTGGCCCTCAGTAAAAGATAAGACACAAGGAGACAAGGTCCACGTCTGTCTTGGGATGCCCACAGGTGCCAGCATTTTTCATCCATCTGAGGACCCCTGCAAGGCTTATGCCCAGTCACAAGGATTGTTACTCAGGAAAGCCTGGGACTTCAGCTTCCTGCCTGGTGGTCTTGCAGCTAACCAATCTGAGTCCATGTTAGCCGTATGCCCTGTTTTTTGCTAACACAGCAGATATCCCACCTTTATTGGTTTTGAGGGGAACAGAGCTGGAAGTTATCCCAAGGTCAAATTTATTCTCAGAGAGGAGAAAGGGTTTTGTTAGAGAGCGAGAGAGAGCCCTGCAGCCAGGGTCTTTGCACACCGCTTTAATGAGCTTGCTACAATTTTTTTCTGTTTTGCTGCTCACAAAAAAGGCTACTTCTTTAAAAGAAAAGAAAAAAGAAAAAGGACTTCTTGAGGTCGTGGGAGAAAATAGTTTGCACACAAACAGCACCGCATAGGCACCAAGTTCTTATGACCCGACTCACAGTTCATCAGTGAGGCTGCCTCTCCATTTCTTTCTGCTCCTGTCTCCCCGGATGGCTGAGAGCGAGAGAGTAGCTAAGGAGGAAAAAGTACTCCTGAAGGACTAGCTTAATACAAGAACATTCATTCCAAAGAGGCAAGCGTGCTCCGTCCTGTATGCAACATGCCAGTGACTGGAACTCGTAATTCTCCACTTTGGAAACAGCAGTTAATTAACTGTGATGACACAGTTGACTATGTGGGAACATCCTGGAGGGGACAGCGCTGCCACGCCCTCCGCCTTGGACAGAAATACCCGCCAAGGCAGCGGGTAACTCCAGCCGGCACTGACCGTCTTTTGATTCCTGTGGTGTCTGGGCCTTTCTCCTGCCTCACACATATCCCATTATTCTTAAATGTGTATTTCCCATGCGTGGTGTATCCCCTGGAGTGAGTTCTGGTGGATGCTCCAGGAGAGGATGTGCTAGAAATACAGCATGAACTGAGAACTCTAAGACACTCATAATGGAATTTATCTTGTCTGTGTCACTGTATTAGATGCTACTTGCTTTTCTTCTTCTTCTTTTTTTTTTTTGTTTTTTGTTTTTTGTTTTGTTGAGACAGAGTTTCTCTGTGTAGCTTTGTGCCTTTCCTGGAACTCACTCTTTAGTCCAGGCTGGCCTCGAACTCACAGAGATCTGCCTGTCTCTGCCTCCCAAGTGCTGGGATTAAAGGCGTGCACCACCACTGCCCAGCATTACTTGCTTTTCTATGGGTAATTTTCTTTGTCCAAAGATTCATTTTATCATAACTGATGTCTTAAGATTTTTCATTAAAATACCCTGATTTAGATAGGTCTTTGTTTTGGTGGCTTTGTTGTTGTTGTCTTTATTTTGGTTTTGGTTTTGAGACAAGGTCTCTGGATGGCCTGGAACTCACGATGTCAGTCTGGCTGGCCTCAAACTGGCTGTGATTCTCCTGCCTCTGCTACATGAGTGCTGGGATTCCAGAGGTGTGTCACCACACCTGGCTCTGTCTTTGCTTTAATCAAGTCCAAAATTGTCATTTCTTAGCTTGCAGTCAGCAGTTTTCTACTGCGTTCCCAGATCTGAGATGTGAGGTAGCACACGGCAGTCAGGGGCTTCTCTGTAGGTGGGAAAGGGAGCTTCAGAGGGGAGTGTGTGAGGTGACCAGTCAGCATCACTGGTTCAGGAAGAGTGAGTGAGTCATAGTAAGTTCTGTACTGGAGAAAGGACATGCAACCTGAGTGAGATCCTGGAGGAAAGGGGTGTGCCTCTCCCCCACACCACACAGGGTACAGACAGCTCCAGCATGCCACCCATTCAGCCAAGGGCAGGTGATGTAGACAGCCAGTGGGTCTGTCCAGTGGGGCCATGAGGAAGTGACAGCAGGGACCCACCCAAGGGCAGCACTGCTGTAGCTGGAAGTCACTAGGAGCCGAAGACCCTTGGAAGCCAAAGTGTGCCGTAGCCAGCTTGCACTTTAGGAAGGTCAGCTGTGAGAGGAAATGGATGCAGGTAAGAATCTGAGGCACTCTTGGCACAGAAGGTGAGCCATGATGGTGAAGATGGAGGAGAAGCTGGGCAGGGAAATGTGTTGTTTGGCAGCTGTAATGTGGGCTCTCTATTTAATGACAGGAATTGTGGTTATAAATGGTACTTTACTGAATGGGTGGCATGCTGGAGCTGTCTGCACCAGCCCAGCGCCCTGTGTGGTGTGGGGGAGAGGCACACCCTTTCCTCCAGCCTGCCTTCCCCAGGTTGCATGTCCTTTCTCCAGCACAGCACTTACTATGACTCACTCACTCTTCCTGAACCAGTGACGTGGGCGAGGCCGGGGACCAACCTTAGGCTCTTTGTCAACTCCAATGGGGTAAGACCCCAGGCCCTGTGACTCCAATAGAAGAACTCGGGGCTCAGAGTAGTAGCCAGAGGCAAGCACTTGGTATCAGTAGCTGTGACTTGAGTCCAGGGGCTCTTGCTGCCTTAGTTGATGTCTAAGAGTAGACCTCAGTGAATGACCCAGGGATGCAGTCAGCCTCAAGAATATGGTGACAGATGGCAGGAGCTCAGACGCGGGCTATTGTCATAGACAGCAAGCCCCTAGCCCTTTGAGTAGGCCAGGAGGATGGAAACAATGTAGCAGAGAGGTGATACATGAGAGAGAATGAGGCCAAAGCTGCTTTCAGCTCTGTGTGTGGCTCAGGCAGCCACTGAGCCACCAGGAGCAAAAGACAAGTTACCAACGTGGAGGTCAGAAAACCACGTAAGCCCTCAGCTGTAGAATGCAGCCAAACTTTTGAGCAGAGGGAAAGAGATGGGCAGCCACTGCAAGTCACAGTGGGTTCTGGAGCCCAGGGAGGCTCTCAAGTGGAGAGAGGCAAATCACAGAGCCTCTGGGGCCTGGAGCCTGAGGGGCTTGGGGACTGCAGGGCCTTTGGGCGGGGGTGGAGTCTTCAGGGCGTGGAGCCTGTGGGGTTTTGCATGACTGCTCCTGGGCATGGTGGAGGAGAAGGTTTACTGTAGATAAAGGGAGAGCATAAGTCGAGGCAGGGACATCTGGGAGAGTCCAGAGTGGACACGACCAGACTGAGCTGGGCCATGTGAGGGGGAGAGAGGGGAACTATGTGCAGCAGCCATGAGGACAAAGGTACAATAGGGTGAGCAACCCAAATGTCTAGATTGTATAGGGAAGAGCCTCTGGGGGAAGGGCAGCCCAGCCCCTGGGGCTGGAGAGTTCAGGACAGAGGGCGGAGTATGCCAGCCATGCCCTGTAACAGATAGGGATGCTGGGAGAGTCTGGGGCCAGGTCCTCTTTGATATGTTAAATAGGCACCTCAGCCATTTGTCCCAGGCTTGAGACTTAACACTGGCCATCACTTCCCTTCACATATTTACTGGGGAGCATGGGCTTGGCTGTGCTAGAAACCCAGATAACCCTGAGCAGGGCTGCAGTGTGAGAAGACACCCCACACACACATCTACATGAGCTGCATGCAAAGGATGCCAGTGACCTCCATGACAATAAAGTGTGCCACCCAAGCATGAGGACCTGAGTTTGATCACCAAAATCTATGTCAAAGAACCAGAGGTGGGAGTGGGTTCTTGTAGTCCCAGTGCCATGCATCAGTACAGGCAGATCCCTGGGCCTCACTGGCCACATAGGCTAGCCTAATTGTGGGGCTCCAGACCAGTGAGAGACCCTGTCTCTAAAACCAAAGCAGGACCGGGGAGATGTCTTAGCAAGTAAAGCTCTTGTGTAAACATTAAGACTGGAGCCGAGTGGGCATGGTGGCCTGTGTGCAATGTCAGTGCTTGGAAGACAGGAGCCCCAGAGCAAGCTGGCTGGCCAGACTAACTACTGTTGAGCTCTGGGTTCAGTGAGAGACTTTGCCTCAATGAATAAAGTGGAGAGCGATGGAGGTAGACTCAAACAGCTAAAGGCCTACACACACATGTATACACACACACACACACACACACACACACACACACACACACAGAGTGAGAAAAGTGATGGACAGCTCCTGAGGAATGATACCAAGGTTGCCCTCCAGATGTACAACCGTATATACCCACCTACCCCCATGAACACGTGCACACAGGCACACACACGTACACAAACACACATAAAGACCAAAATGTCCACATATTTTTAAGCAGACATTTCCCTCAGGGTAAATAAATGAATGCGAGTCAGGAGGTGTGCAAGCCGGTACTCACTCCCATGGTGCTGAGCACCGCACCCCTCATAATTAATAGCATAAATTATGCTATGGATGCTTTCCCCTCTTCCTGACCTTGATTCAAGGAGATGGATTTTATGCTGAAAGGCATGTGTTTTTCTATTTTATACTTTTAGTAGTCATGAAAGATTAAAACAAAGCAGCTTAATTAATTTTCTCATAATGTCACCAGAGTCCAGTAGACAATCTTCTCTGGAACAGGACAGATAGGGTCCCTGAAATAACATGCACTGGCCATGTAATAAAGAGGGGCTCAGTTTTAAGTGAGAGAACTTCATCACCCACAAGGATGACAAAGGACGGTCTCAGACTCAAGACTCAAAAGGAGGCAGAACTCACTTCAACAGGGAAGGGAATAAATCGACCGATTCTCCTTATTTTAGTAGAGCCTCCTAATTCTCGAGTCTCTGCTGCCCTAGAAAGTGACCGTGGTGGGTGGGAGGTTTTAGAAGTCCCTGGTGGCCTGCCCTGGTCGAGCCTCATGGTTTCTCCTCTCCCCAGGCATGACGGAGATGGTGCGTAAAATCACTCTGAGCAGAGCGCTGAGAATCATGCAGAACCTGTTTCCAGAGGAGTACAACTTCTACCCTCGCTCGTGGATTCTGCCTGAGGAGTTCCAGCTCTTTGTCGCTCAGGTAGATAGTACGCCAGGCCTGTAGCGCTTGAATGATAAGTATGCTTGTGACTGCAGCTGTGTTGCTGGTCCTGTGTGCTGGGAGCTGGGCCAAGGGGGCACCAGGAGGTTGAGCGATTTGCTTGTACACTGTGAGTATTGGCAGCCATTGAGGAAGCTTGCAGTGTGGAACAGGCAGGGCAACAGGTAGGTAAACTGAGGTGACAGGTGTTAGAGCTGGATCACGGAGTCAGGGAACCAGCAAACCAGGAAGGTGGAGCAGGTGTGGAGCCCACAAGTGGAATGACCCATGGGGACGGGAGGGGGGGAGGGAGGTCCTGGGAGTGGGCTCCCCAGCCAGCAGCACAGTTGGGCTGCTTAAAGACCAGCGAGCAGGCTTAACAACCCGAAACATCCATTTTCCAGTGGTCCATCCCTTCCACCTCGAAAGCAGTGTGTTCGAGCATCAGATACTCCAGAGACTTGGCTGCCGGTTTGAAATAGCAGTGGTGGCAAAGTGTGACTCAGAACCAATGTTTAGTTTAGATTTGGTTTTTGACAAGATTAATTTCAGACCATTCCAGACCCTTTGACAAGTTCTGCAGAGCATGCCATAACTATGGACTACAGGGTTAACTGCCATAAACCTTGGTCTCTCTGGGACAAGTCTGCTACCTTAGTGGTTTTACTGTAGTCTGGACATTATGAGTACCTCAATGTTGTTTTGGGGTCTAATATAAAAATCTAGAATTTGAAATAAGATTAAGATTTACCAAACATAAAAATAGCCTGCTTGCTGGCCAGTGGTGGTGCACACTTTTGATCTCAGCACTTGGGAGGCAGAGGCAGGCGGATCTCTGAGTTCAAGGCCAGACTGGTCTACAGAGTGAGTTCCAGGACAGCCAGGGATACACAGAGAAACTCTGTCTTGGGGGAAAAAAAGAAATAAATAAAGGAAAGAAAGAAGGAAAGGAGGGAGGAAAGGAGGGAGGGAGGGAGGAAAACCAAAACAAACCCCAGCTTGTTCATCTTTAAAGAGAAGCATGGGGGCTAGAATAGATAGATGGATGGATGGTAGACCCGTGGATCTGTGTATTTATTGAGTCAGGTGTATTTATTATGTGTAAATTTTGCTTCAATAAAGTTAACTTTTAAGACAGCTATCAGCGCTTCCACTTTCTCTCCTGGCCCTGCTCGCCCTCCCTCTGGCCTCTTCAACTCTTCTGTCTAAGGAGTGAATGGGCGGAGTCAGCACTAGATCCGGGGCATTTCAGATCTCGTGAGATGAGCACACCCACTCTCTGTCCCCAAAGCCCTGTGAGCATCCTCATGGTCAGCTCTCTCTGTCCTCAGCCCTCCCTCTTGCTGCAGACAGAAAAGCAAATAAATCAATAGTGCGCAGAGAGCCACCTTGTGGTGTGGCTTCGTCATCTGTATGTTTATTGCTGACAGGTGCTCCATTATACGAATATACCACTATTTGTTTATGCGTCCTGCATTTGATGGGCATTTGGATTTATTTCCAGGTCGGGGACGAGAGGAAGGCAACTGACTGCTAAGCTGTAGGTTTGTAGGTGCGTCTGTTCTTGGGAACCTTAAGATCATGTGATCTCTGTGATTTCCAACTTTCTCACCAGCAATTCTGAAGTGGCAGTTCCTCATTAGCAGACCCTTTAGACGTTCTGATGGGTATAATTGTAGTTCTTTTTAGTACCTTTTTTTTCTGAGAAGGATCTTGCTAGAATTATAAGCAAGGGGTGCTATGTTCAGATTTAGTTACGTTTCCTTTTCATGTACTTTTTTATATTTAAGAGTTTGTTCTTGTTGTTGTTCTTTTATTTTATCCTCCTCCTCCTTCTGAGACAGGGTGTCACTATGTAGCCCAGGCTGTCCTGAACTCATTCTGTAGACCAGGATGGCCTTGAGCTCGCAGAGATCCACCTGTCTCTGCCTCCTAGGTGCTGGGATTAAAGGTGTGCACCACCATACCTGGTAATATATTATTATTAATATATTAATTATAATTATAGTTAATTAATATATTAATAACATTGAAAAATATTATTATTATGTGTGTGAGTGTAAGTGTAGTAGACATGCATGCACCATGGTGTTATTAAACAACCTGACCCCAGTCAGATTCGGCCACTTCCCTTCAATACACCAATTAAAAGAGACAAATCAAATATTTAATGCAGAAAAAAAAAACCCTGAAAGACATTTATTCCATGTGTCCCCATTGGGAAGGGGCAGAGAGACCCAGCAAACTCCTCAAAGGTCCTGAAGAGAGATCGACGATGTTTAAGTGGAGGGCCTAGGATACCCACAAGTCAGCAGCCCTTTCAAAGCATGGTCCTGCCCACCACTGAGCCATCATAGTCTGTGGGGGCTGCGCTCTCAGGCTGCGTGGTGGTCTGACAAGTTGTTAGAGCTGTGTGACATCTCTTTCTGAGTGACAAGCTCCCTTCTGGCTGGTTCTTTTCCTTCCCCCAGAATGAGAGTCCTGGGGAAATTCCTGTGTCTTTGGGGGTCTATTGTTTCAACGGCTGGTCATATGGAGTAATCTGAATATCTCTTTAGAGTATCTTTATTTCTACCAGGCCTGTGGCAGTGACTCACGTGTCAAGGGCGGAGATGGTTCTCTCTCCCACCATGCTCTGAGTCAGGGTCTCGATTGTACAGTTTCCTCCCAGATGAAACCTTAATACAATAAATTTCCCTGGGAGCTCTGCTTTGAATATCGCTCAGATAGTTTTATATTTTGCATTTTTATTATCCCTTACAGTCTTCTCTGCTTTTCTTTGAGAATTCTTTTGTTCGTGAGCTATTTATAAATGTATTGTTTAGTTTTACAATTATTTTGAGATTCTCTAAATACTTTCTGTTATTGATTTCAAAATTCTGCTTTTGTCTGACCTTTTATTTTGTTAATGCTGGAAATTATAGGCTTTAATTATATCAAGCTCTTTAATTTTTATAAGACATGATTAACATTTTTATTACACCTTTGTTTGTGTCAGTGTTGCAGTGGGCACTCACATGCCACGGTGTGTGTGGAGGGCAATGGACAATGCTCTTTGGGAATGGCTCTCTCTTCCTGCCATGTAGGTTCTAGGAATTGAACCCAAGCTGCCAGGCTTGGCACCAGGACCTTCTGCTGCTCCCTGGGTCTTTTAAAATGTATGAAACATTTTCTTCTTGTGGCCCACATGTTATCTGTCTTGGTGAGCATTTCATGTACACTTGATTTGTATTCTGGTACGACCAATGTGGCATTCTATAAATGTCAGGTCTAGTTAGTTCTTTGTAGGGTTCTGTCTTCTTTTACTGATTTACTGACCATTACTGAAATTTCCAATTATGGTTGTAACTAAGATTGTGCTATTCTTTAAATTCTGCCAGTGCTTGCTTGCTTATTTATTTATTTATTTATTTATTTATTTATTTATTTATTTATTTATTTATTTATTTATTTTACAATACCATTCAGTTCTACATATCAGCCACGGGTTCCCCTATTCTCCCCCCTCCCACATCCTCCCCTTACCCCCAGCATACCCCCCATTCCCACCTCCTCCAGGGCAAGTCCTCCCCCGAGGACTGCGATCAACCTGGTAGACTCAGTCCAGGCAGGTCCAGTCCCTTCCTCCCAGACTGAGCCAAGTGTCCCTGCATAAACTCCAGGTTTCAAACAGCCAACTCATGCAATGAGCACAGGACTTGGTCCCACTGCCTAGTTGCCTCC